CATTTTTTGGCTTTTTCTATTAAGCTTGATTCCTACACTTTGAATCACTCTGTAAGTCCTTTTCTCCTTCAGATGCCCATATACAACATTGTGGTTTTTAGCCTTTTGTCACTAATTCACTTTAAATGTTTACATTTCAGTTTCAGTATCAGGACTTACTTTCTGGTGCCAGGAATGCTGAAGCTTGGGTCCTCTTTCTGAAAGTCAGCATCATCCCACCTCATTTGCTTTGATCGGAACACTCTCTTCAGAACGCTTTCTTTCAAAAACTTGGAGATGATCTTCTCTCTTTGAACATTACTGAATATTTTGCCTTCTGGAAGCCAGCTGATCTTGTCACATCCTCCATGACAGAAAGGAAAGAGAGGTTGTTCAGGAGACACAACAGCTCTCTTTGGAATGGAAAAAAAAGCGGAATCATCATTTGTCTAAAAGTTATGAATAAAAGATTAGCCTAGCTAGAAAAACAACCGAGCATCCTGCAGCTGCTCTGCTGTGGGATCAATTTAGTTAATAACATTCTGCAGGCACCTAAGCACACTGCTGGCTCTACATAGCAACACCTCATCACAGTAAGAGAAGGAACCCAGGCTTGGGAGGATTCTTTTGGCTCTTTTCTCTAGAGAATACAGTAATAAAAACTTTGAAAAGGTAAATATTGGACACTGAACAACAGAATTAGAAATAAGTGCAATACCAGACCAGCTAGAAAGTGGAAGCATTTGGATCTTCTAGTGGTGTAGGTGGAGACGTGGCAGGGACAGACCAGTATCACACAGCAAACTGAACTTCGACCAGCCTTCACTATGATTGCTAGCTTGCCTTCTAAACAGTGTTCTTTCTACCACACCACAACCAGAAAAAAAAATTAGAGGGATTGATTCTTAGAAAAATGGTGTGGAATGATTTAGCAACAGATAGTTTCCTTAGCATTTCATCATTATGGGAGGCTTACTTCTGATTTCAACCAAGATAGTTGTAAACATCCCCTCAATTGCTATTTAAGACAATGATTCATTTGTTTGAAGTGTGAGAAATCACATTTGCATAGCATGTTGAAAGGCTTAAAGCCTGGTTTGCACTTTCCTGTTTATCAAAAAATTCTCATTTGATGGAGTCAGCTCTGGTTAGCACAGTGGTTAAGAGCACACTGTTGAGCATGTTGTCAGGAGGGGCCAGTTACTGGAAAAAGGACATGATGCACGGAAAAGTAGAGGATCATCAAGGGAGATGAAGACCCTCAACAAGAGAGATTGATATGCTGACTGCAACAACAGGCCTAAGCACATGTGAAATTTTGAGGGTGGCATAGAGTGTACAAGGCTTCAATCCGTTGTTCACAGGGTTATAAGTCAGAATTAACTCTATAGCACTTGACAGCAACAAATCTGAACCCACCAGCCACCCTATGGGAGAAATATATGGTGGGCTACCTTGTGAAAGAGTTACAGCTCAGAATCTTTAGCTGTTGTGATATGATGTTGAGTCACCTGTGACTTGTAGTATTCCTATGTACAATAGCTCTTAACCCTGCCCTATCCTGAGTCAACTTCACCCCCTATTATCCTAGTCACTGTGTCAATCCATCTCATCCAGAGTCTTCCTCTCTTGGGCTCCACCCTTTCATGGTGTCCTTCTCCAAGGACTAATTCCTCATGGTAATATGCCTGAAGTATGTGGAATGGAGCTTCAAAATCCTTGCCTCCATGGAGAAGCCTGGTTTCACTCTTCCCAGAATATACCTGTTTGTTCTCTTAGTAGTCCATGGCATGCTCAATACTCTTCTTCAGCACCACACAACTCAAAGGCATCTATTCTTCTATTATCCTTAGTCATTATCCAGCTGATGTATAGCAAATAGTTGTGAAGACCATAGCTTGAATCAGGTGTACCTTCGTCTATAGACTGATATTGTTGCTCCTTAGTTCTCTGGAGAGTTCTCTGACAGCAGATTTTCTCAAAACAATTTGTCTTTTAGTTTTCTGACAGCTGGTGCCAAGAGTGTTGATCATGGAACCAAGCAAGCTGAAGGTGTTAACAATCTCAATCTCTCCTCTGTCTCTTGTGAAGTTGTATGATGTTGCCATTCAGCCCAGTCGTGAGAATTTTTGTTTTCTTGACTTTGAGCTTCAATCCATATTGAAGGCTGCAGTCCTTGACCTTCTGCAACACATGCCTTAGGTCCTTCTCAGTTTCAGCAAGCAAGGCTGTATAATGTGCATAATGCAGGTTGTTGATAAGCCTTCCTCCAATCCAGATGCTACATTCCTCCTTATAAAGTTCAGCCTTCCAAATGATCTGTTCTGCATATAAATTGAGACGGTATGGAGACAGGATGCATTCCTGGCATGCCCCTTTTCTGATTTTGAGCTATGCAGTGTTTCCTCGTTCTGTTCTGAGGACTTCTTCCTGGTCCAAGTATAGGTTCCACAATTGGAACGTGTTCTTTCCAAAAACACTCTCAAGCTTCTTCTCAAGGTTCGCCACAATTTGTTCTGATCCACACAGTCAAATAAATGCCTCTGCATAGTAAATGAAATGCAGATAGACATTCCTCTGCTTTCAGCTAAGATCCGTCTAACATTAGCTATTATATCCCTGTTGCCACAGCCTCTACTAAACCCAGCCTGCACATCTGGCAGTTATCTGTTGATGTACTGCTCCAGTCATTTCTGAATAGTCTTCACCGAGATCTTGCTTGCATGTGATAGTATTATCTGTTGATGTACTGCTCCAGTCATTTCTGAATAGTCTTCACCGAGATCTTGCTTGCATGTGATAGTAATGATATTGTTGGATAATTTCCACATTGTCAGATCACCTTTTTTCCGGAATGGGAATAAATATTAATCTTTTCCAGTCAGTTGGCCAGATAGCGGTTCTTCAGATTTCTTGGCACAACCTGGTGCTGAGAATGTGTCCAGGGCAGAATAAATTTGTTAACATATGTCAATTGGTATGCCATCAATTTCTGGGGCCTTGTATTTGCCAGTGTTTTTTTTTTTGGAGCAGCCTGAACTTCCTCCTTTATCACAATTGCCTCTTGATTTCATGAAATTCTTCTGTGTCAGCCAATTCTTTTTGGTACAATGACTATGTGTCCTCCTCCTACCTTCTTTTGATGCTTCCTGTGTCATTCAGTATTCTGCCCACAGCATACATTTGTATTGCAATTCGAGGCTTGAATTTGTTCCTCAATTCTTTCAGCTTAAGAAATGCCAAGTGAGTTCATCCTTTTTTATTTTGACTCCAGTACATTTCAATATAATACTTTGCTTTGCCTTCCCGAGCTGCCCTTTGAAATCTTATTTTCATCTTCTTAGCTTCTTGATTTCTTCCCTTTGCGTTGGCTTTTTGGTGTTCTACTGCAATATTCAGAGTCTCTTCTAAAATACATCTTGATCTTTTCTTCCTCCTCCATCTTTGTAACGACCTTTTACACTTTTCATGGATGATATTCTTGATATCCTCTCATAGTTCCTCTGGTCTTCGATCATTAGTGTTCAAGTCCTCAAACATGTTCTTGAGATGGTCTTTAAATTCAGGTTGAATAAACTCAAGATCAAACTTTGGTTTGTGTGGATTTGATTTGATTTTCTTTAGCTTCAGTTTGAACTTGCATAATAGTGATCTGTTCCACAATCAGCACCTGGCCTAGTTTTCACAGCTGATACTGAGCTCCTTCAATAATATATTTCCCCAGATGTAATCATTCTGATTCCTATGTAGACCATCAGGTGAGGTCCATGTGTACAGTCGTCACTTGTGTTTTTATAAAAGGCATATACAATGAAAAATCATTGATTGTACATAATTCTATAATTCTGAAAATTGACAGGTGTGACTTTATATATCCTACTATGAACCGTTATGCATAACCAGGATATTTAAGTCATCATGGATTAAAAATTCAGTGATTTTGCCAGGATTTAGAATTCCTACAGCTATATTACTTTGATCAAGGGCCTTGTCCTGGTTTAAGTCCCTTTCTCCATTTAGCCTGGTTTCCATATTATTGCTGGCTTTTGTCTTTTCATGTCCAAGAGCTCTTTGGTACACTGGAAAACACTACCAGCCTTTGCCATGACTTGCTTGACCTGTGTTACCACTTTCCAATTACTGGCCACTTGGTAGAATGGTTATTCAGCCAGTTCCTGGCATTACTATGGCCCACTGGTGGAGTTGGAGAGGGAGAAATTAAGTAGTTAAAAAAAAAAGTAGTTACAACAAACTTTATTGTTTGTACCAAATCTGTGAGTAGCCCTTGACATCTTCTATCTAGTTCAGGGCTATAAAATTTGGTGGTTTAAGAGTAATTCAATACTTCCTCTACTCTTTTGTCTTCAGAAAAGTATGACTTCTGTAAGTAAAGTGAGCGCTAAACATTTTCATCTGCCTCCGTGTTAGTTTGCATAAGAGAATAGGGGGCTGTTTGCTGTCTTACCTGTGTCAATTTGGACATTTCCTCAGTATTGGAAGTGAAGCTCTTTCTTTGGTCCCTCTTGAGGATTGTGCTGATGTAATCACTCTCTTAGAACTGTGAAGTCCTTATTACATATACATAGGGGGCAAGGCCTATACCAAATATGGAGTGAGGAAATATCACTATATGTGAGTATGCCCAACTTCAGTAAAGTACAATTCTGTTTTTAAGAATTGTTAGTGTCCAGAAGGGAACTAGAATTTCTCCTTTGAAATTACTGTCAGACGTGGCAGGATGCTTCTGATGGACTGACTTCCTGTGCTTTGTCAATGCACGCTGACCCTCAGTGTTCCGGATGTCTGAGCCATTGTGACCTTGAGAATGTTCAGTCATGGAGACCAGAAAAGAGATTCCATAATACCTTCTTAGGGATAAAGCCAAGCACAGTTTGAAGGAACTCCACCCATCATATGCTTAGTTCCTTTCTCTAACTTATAGGGTCATTATGGAAACTGCCAAGAATACTCAGATTACTCTGAAATATCCACCCCTTGACAAAGATAAGAAGGTGAAAAACTATAATGACCCTAAAGTTATGCAAAACACTTTTAAGATGCTATCTAACCTCCACAAGCTGCTACCAAGTCACCTGATGGACACACTTTCTTCCTACAAAAGTGAAGAGGACGAAAGAAAATGTATGTGGGTGAAGGGTGGGGGGTGAGCTCTTTTTAGGAAGCATACATTTATTCTGATATAAACTGCCTCTCCTTTTAGCATGGATGACAAACGACAATTTCTTTCCACTGAGATGTGGAGATCTTTGGGATCCTTGAGCCTACATGGCACTCATCGTGTAGGTCCTTCTTGAGGGCTCAATGTGGAATCTACTAGTGGACTGATTTAACCATTGCATTTTGATGTCCCACTTTTCTTTAGGAAAAGTAAACCTACAGAAAGATGGGAAATAAATCAAGTAATAAGAAATAACATTAAGTTTATAATTTAAACTTTAGATCTAATTTTAAGATCAGTCAGAAAATATCTAAATTGAACACGAGATTTTGAAGTGTGTTCTTTTGCTCTATTCCCTGATACTTCTTTCTCCTATCGTCAGAGTGATCATAGCCCACAGAGAAACTGGATACAATCGACATTCCAGGTTTATAGGCTCTTGTACAATTTACTCCTGGAATTCTATCATATAAACTCATGACAAGTCTTATTTGCAGAACTGGATGGAGTCTGCAGCTTGAATTGTTCATACTAAAGGGGAGAACAAAAGTAGATAATAAATACCTCTCCTTATGAATTTAAAAAACAAAATAGCATCTGCTACCATGATTAATAGGGACCTCTGGTAGCACAGTCCATAGTGAGTTTCACTGCTAACCCAAAGTCATGCTTTTCTGGTGGTTTGAATTCACCAGCAGCTACAGGAGAGTATCCTCCCCTTTGATTTACAGCCTTAGAGACCCAATGGAAGACGACTTATCAGATTTGACGACAATGAGTTTGAGTGTGAGTTTTTTGTTTGGGGTGGGTTTTTGTTTGTTTGTTTGTTTGTTTGAGTTTTGACAGTGATTAAGACAGGAGTCCTAGAAAAGAAAGTAAGAGATTTTGATTTACACTCACACTTCAGTTAGTACCATAGTGAGTTTCAAGAAAATGACACATCTGAAATGTATATCAGAAAATTGAAGGTACTACATCATTAAATAACTTCTAGATTACACCATTATATAACTGCCAAATTCCATCATTACATAACTGTCAAACTACTCAGAATCATGACCCAGCATTTGTTATTGCCAGATACATATTATTGTGAAAATTAGTTGGATAATAAATTTTTTACTATTGTAGTAAATGTGAAATATCACATAAAGAAATAGTTAATCAATGAGGAGTTTTTGTTAGGCACAACTTCTAGCAACATTATGAACAAAATATCTGAACCCTGTTCTATCCTGTACCATCCTCACACTTCCTAATACATAAGAGCCCATTGCAGCACTCAGCATATCAATCCACCTGGTTAAGGGTCTTCCTCTCCTTTGCCGACCCTCCACCCTCCCAACATCATGTTGCTCTCCAAGGAGTTACACCTCCTAGCAATGTGTTCAAAGTATGTGATGTGAAACCTAATTGTTCTTGTCTCCATAGAGCACTCTGGCTGAATCCTCTCCAAGACATATCTGTTCATTCTCTTAGCTATCTATGGGATGTTCAGTGCTGTTTTCCAACACCATAGCTCAAAGGCATCAATTATTTTCCTGTCATCCTTATTCATTGTCCAGCTCTCAGATACATAGAAAATAATAGGAAAGACTGTGGCTTGAATCAGATGCACCTTAGTCTTCAAACCCATATCACTACTCCTCAATAATTTTGAAAGATCCTTAACTGCAGATTTTCCCAGTGCAGTGTGTCTCCTTATTTCCTGATTGCTGGTGCCAAGGGTGTTAATTGCGAATCCAAGCAAGATGAAGCTGTTGACAGTTTCAATCTCCTCTCCATCCATCATGACACTGCCTATTGGTCCAGTGGTACGAATCTTTGTTTTTGTGACATCAAGATGCAATCCATACTGAAGGCTGCATTCCTTAAGCAAGTAAGGTTGTGTTATCTGCATAATGCAGGTTATTGATGGGTCTTTCTCTAATTCTGATGCAACACTTCTCATAGAGTCTATCTTCTCAGATAATTTGCTCAGCATACAGAGTGAATAGGTATGGAGACAGAATACAACCCTGGTGCACTTCCTTCCCAATTCCAAATCATGCAATACTTCCCTGCTCCATTCACACAGCAGCCTCCTGGTCCACGTATAGGCTCCCATGAGCACAAGCAAGTGTTCTGGGACTCCCATTCTTCTCAATGCAAGCCACAACTTGTTATGATCCACACAGTCAAACACCTTTGCATGGTCAATAAAGCATACATAGACATTCTTCTGGTATTCCTTACTTTCAGCAAGGATCCATCTTACATCAGCAATGATATCCCTGGTGCCTTGGCCTCTTCTAAATCTTAGTTGAACTTCTGGCAGTTACTTTTCTATGTACTGTTCCAGCCACTTTTTGAATGATCTTCAGCAGTATTTGGCTTGCATGTGATATCAATGATATTGTTCGATAATTTCCACATTCAGTTGGATCACCTTTCTTGGGAATGGGAACAAATATGGACCTCTTCCAATCAACTGCTCAGACAACAGTCTTTCAAATTTCCTAGCATATATTGATGAATGCATCCAAGGCTGCATATGTCAATGGAAACAAGTCAATTGATATCCCATAGATTCCTGGGGCCTTATTTTTTGCCTATTCCTTCAATACAGTTTCTGCTTCCTCCTTCATTGTCATTGGCTCCTGTTCATATGGTACTTGCTGACATTTTTCAATGTCAATAAATTCTTTCTGGTATGGTGACTCTGTGTATTCCCTCCATCTTGTTTTGGTGCTTTCTGGGTCATTCAATATATTGCCCATAGTGTCTTTTGATATTGCGACACGAGGTTTAAATTTGTTTTTCAGTTCTTTCAGTTTGAGAAATGGAGAGCGAGTTTTTCCCTTTTTATTCTCCAATCCCAGCTCTCTGCACATTCCATTTTAATATTTTGCTTTATCTTCCCGAGCTGTCCTTTGCAATTGTCTGTTCAGCTCTTCCACTTTGACATATTTTCCTTTAGTTTTGGCTTCTTGATGCTCCAGTGTTATCTTTAGAGTCTCTTCTGACATCCATTTTTATTTTATTTTCTTTCTCTGTTCTTTTTATGACCTTTTGCTTTCTTCATGGATGATATCCTTTATATCATCCCACAACTCATCTGGTCTTTGATCATTGGTGTTCCGTTCCTCAAACCTATTCTTTTTTATTTTATTTTATTAATTTTAATGAATGCTACAGAGATTTTGGATTTTCCCTTATTCATTGTTGCAGTTTTCTCCCTGCCCATCCCTCCTCCCCAGTTCACTCTTCTCTTTGAAAACTAAAAATTTTTTCATTGGTATACAATCCCCTCTCCCCCTGACTACATGCCACTATGCAACCTTCATTCTGGACTCTTGTCATAACCCTAATACCCAATCATATATCGCTTTAGATGATCGTGAAATTCAGATGGAATTGATTCATGACTGTACCTTGGTTCCTGTGGACTTATTTTCATTTTCTTCAGCCTCAATTTGAGCTTGCATGTGAGTAATTGATGATCTGACCCACAGTCTGCCCCTGGCCTAGTTTCAACTGACAATATTTAGCTTCTCTAACAATTTCTTCCACAGATGTATTCAGTATGTTTCCTATGCAGCCCATCACGTGAGATCCAAGTGTAAAGTCTACTTTTGTGTCCTTTAAGAAAGGTATTTGTATTGACTAAATCACATTGACGAAATTCATCATTATATTTCTAGCTTTATTTTTTATCACCAAGCCCTTATTTTCTAACTACTGTTCCTTCTTCATTCTTTCCTACTTTTGCAATGCAGTCACCAATTATTATTAACACATCCTCATTTCATGTTCAATCAATTTCAGACAACAGAATTTGGTAAAAATTATCAATTTCTTCCTCTTTGGTTTTAGATGTAGGAGCATATATTTGAATAATAGTCATGTTAATGGGTCTTCCTTGTACATGTGTGGATATTATCCTATCATTCACAATGTTGTATTTCAGGGTAGAACTTGAAATTTACTTTTACTATGAATGAAACACCATTCTTCCTCTGTTTTTAATTTCCTGCAAGTAGGTATTTTGAAACATTGTGGCAAGCATGGGAATTTGCACTCTGATCAATTCCTAATCCGAGAATCCAGACTATCTGGATTGAATCCCAAGAATTCTTCTTTAAACTGAGCTGTTAACCTACCTCAATAAAAATGATTAAAGATATTACTTACGTTTTCTTAGCTACATACAGCTAATCTTGTCCTGGTCCTTTATTGTTTTTATTGTTATGTACCATATGACTCCAACTCATAGTGATCCTATGAGGTCCCTGACCGCTGACTTTCCCAATGCAATTCATCTTTTGATTTCATGGCTCCCTGTACCAAGAGTATTGATTGTGGAGCCAAGCAAGCTGAAACTGTTAATACTCTTGATCTTCATCTATCATGATGCTGCCAATTGGCCTAGTGGTGAGAATCATTCTTTTTTTGGTGTTGAGCTTCAAACCATATTGAAGGCTGCAGTCCTTCTGCAACAAATGGCCTCAGGTCCTCTTCAGTTTCAGCAAGCAAGGTTATGTCATCTGTATGACGCATGTTGTTGATGAGTCTTCCTCCATTCCTGATGCTACATTCTTCCTCAATAGAGCCAACCCTGAGGGACTGTTCCACATATAGATTGAAAAGATATGAAGATAAGATGCATCCCTGGCATACAACTTTCCTAATTTTGAACCATGCAGTGTTTCCTTGCTCTGTTCTAACGACTGCCTCCAAGTATATAGGTTTCGTATGAGCACAATCAAGTTCTTTGGGATTTCTGTTCTTCTCAGAGTTAGCCATAGTGTGTTGTGATCCACATAGTCCATTATTAGCCTTTTACTATTTTCTGAAATGGTGGAAAAGAAAGAACAGATAATCTAATTAGTTCCAGAAAGTAGATTTGGTATCATCTTTGAACAATTTCATTAACATATTAAATGTTGTTGTTGTTGTTAGGTGCCGTTGAGTTGTAGACGAT